GCCTGGACAAGGTCCTGTGCAGCCTGCTCTGGGTGACCCTGCTTTGGCAAGGGGTTGGACTAGATAACCCATAGAGGTCCCTTCCAACCCCGAACATTCTGTGATTCTGTGAACTGGTTATTGCCAGAAACCTGACTTCTCCAGGGGAGAGCAGTGCTGAAGAGGAAAATGTTCTGCCTCAGACGTTGCGTGGTGGAACAAGCAGGCACCAACACCCTGCGCTGGGCACGGACAGTGCCGGACTGGACGGAGCACCCTGTGCCCAGCGTTGCTGGGCCTGTGTGTGAGCAGAGCAGCCAGCAGAAAAATCACAGAGCTCAAAAAAGGGGCTCAAACGCCTCGTGTGGCTTTGCCGCAGAGCGAGATACAGTCTGCTCTGTTACATGTGTTGCTATGAATTAAGCTTAAGATTTCTTGCCCAGCTTGCGTCCCGAGCTTTACTTCTGAAGGCGGATTGTGTTTGCAATGAGGATCGTTATGAACTTTCCGTGACCCATTTTCCTAGATACCTTCTGTGGGTTTTTGCACAAGAGGACATGAATATGTCAAGCGTAATCACCATACCTGAAGATTAGGTAATCTTTGATATCTATCGATACCTTCTCCATCCCCAGGTTCAGGATTGTGCCTTAATCGGTTCAGTGAAGACTCTTGTGGAAGAGCAGCGCAGCAAAGGACCCACTTTGTACCTGCCTGTGGGCTCTGAGAAAGGTCCGCTGCAGCTCGCCGCCCGTCCGCCTGCTCTACTGCACTGCCCTTTCCGACAGCGGTTCTGCTCCTGATGGAAGGGCAAAACGTTACCACGGAAGTCCCGGCAGCCCTAAAGCGCCTGGCCAAGTACATAGTGCGTGGTTTCTACGGAGTGGAGCACTCCCTGGCCCTCGACGTCCTGATCCGCTACCCCTGCGTGAAGGAGGATGACTTGCTGCAGTTGCTCAAGTACGAACGCAAGCAACTGCGCGCCGTGCTCAACACGCTCAAGGCAGACAAGTTTGTGAAGCTGCGTATGCGGGTCGAAACGGGGCCCGACGGGAAGAGCACAAGGCACAATTACTATTACATCAATTACAAGGTGCTGGTGGACGTGGTGAAATACAAACTGGATCACGTGCGCCGGAAAATAGAAGCGGATGAGCGGGATTCGACTACCAGGTCTTCTTTTAAGTGTCCGTCTTGCTCCAGCACTTACACGGACCTGGAGGTCAATCAGCTCTTTGACGTGTTTACAGGTACGTTCCTTACCTTGCCTGTTGGCTCTTATCTTGAAGAATAACTCTGAAGGCACAGAACTGGCTCCTACGCCAACTTGGCAACAACAGCATTTTTGTTAGGATATACTTCTTGTTTGTGGGTGGACAAAGGCCTGGGACAAGAGAAGCTGACGTGATGGTAGGAGTAAAAGCTCTCTGTGGAACAGGCCAAGCAAGATGGAGTGATCTTGAATATACGAGCTGGGGCTGGGAATCTGATTTCACACGTCAGCTTTGCTAGGAACAAAGCGCTTAACCTGGGTCGAGATTGCTCACCCAGGTCTCATGGGTCCCACTGCCTCATACAGCCATGCGAATACAGCCCTCCCCTCGCTCTGCTTGGAGTTTGTCCGTTCATCCGTCCGTGTTCCACTCTTCTGGTGGGAGGGGTGGACGAGATGGCAGCGTGAAGGAGTGCTGCCGCTCCTGTGCTGGGAACGGGGAAGCTTGGGATCCTCCCGGGGCAACACAACACGTTCGTAGCGGAAGGGGCATCGCAGCTCGTGAGTTTCTCTTCTCTGAAATCAAGATGACCAAACGGAGAGTGCTCTCAAAATGAGTGAAAACGGCATCACATTGCGATGCGTCGCTCCAGGCGCAGCTGCTGTGGTCACATCTGGGTCGTGGTACCGGGGAAGGGCCCCGGAGCCCAGGAGAAGGAGCTTCTCGCTGTGAAATGCCGCAGGTGAGGTCAGCGCACCGACCGCTGGCAGAGATCGCCCCGGGGGTCTAAACGGAGGGGCTTCGTCGAGCTACTGAAACGCAAGCGTTGAGGCTGGTGATGCGCTTCAGCAGAAGGTGCTTTTTAATTTCAGGTTTTGCTTAAGATAAAAACATAGGATTTTTAGCATATGCTTTGACTCTAAATGAGTCTTTTTGAACTTCAGAACTCTGAACAACTAAAACCAGATGCTATTTGTACTCAGAAATGTCTCTTTTTCCTTACATTATGAACTAAGAAAAAGATGAGATCAGAGAAGATAAAAATAACACTTACTGTCCGATGGTACTCTGTGTCTAGCCAGCTTAGTTTTCCCCCTCGATATAGACATTTCTCTCTTGTGTAGCAAGTGTGTGAATGTCAGTCCTTCTCAAAAGAAAAAAAAGAAAAAAAATTGGCTTGCCTTTGTAACTTGGGTTCCCCTCGTTAATGTGAACACGGGGGTACAGTCTCACGCGGTCAGAACGTTTTGATAACTCTCTGGGCTGTGGATTTCTTAACAAGGTACCTGCTCATCTGAGAATTCCCGATTTGGATACTCATGTTGCAGAGACGTTCCGCTGCACTTACTGCAACACGGAAGTAGAGGAAGACGCCTTGGCCCTTCCGAAGCGCGACGCTCGAACCTTGCTAGCAAAATTCAACGAGCAGATTGAGCCCATCTTCGTGCTGCTGCGGGAGACTGAAGATGTTGTTCTGCCGTACGACTTGCTGGAGCCTCAGCCAACAGAAATACCAGAGTTATCAGAAAGGTATAAACATAACCTGAGAAATTCTGATCAACACAACCCCCCCCAACGTCTTTCCAGTTGTAAAACCTTTGAAACGCTGATCTCGCGACCTAGTTTCTGCTGTTTCGCTGCGTTCAGTACTGCCAGCTGCTTCATGAAGCAACTTGTAATATCAAAGGCATCCTAAATCATTGTTATGCATTTATAGCTTTATTTTTGCAACCTTTTGTATTTTAAAGAGTAATTTTACAGATGCCTCCTTTGGCTAATGTGTTCGTAGCGCTGCCTGTGAACAAGTGAGGTTTCTGCATTGGCGTGCTCCGTCCCACAGACGAGACCACGCACAGGGCAATGGTTCAGAATCACTTGCCTCTGCGATGAGGTGCTGGGGAATGCAAATTGGTTTAACACAGAGCGCTCGTTAAAGCCAGTCTGCTGACACAACAGCTGCTTTTTTGCCTTTTTTTGACTGGGAGTTGCAGGGGGAGGGGGTCTTGCCTGTATTTGACCTGTTCAAAATGGGTGATGTTTCATGCAGCTTTGATCAGAAGGTGGGTTCAAGCATGCTGGAATCCTGCAGCCGGCCTGAAAAATGGGCCACCAGAAGTTCCTCTTCTGGCAATATGTACACCCAAAACTTAGTTATTGAAGTCCAAGACTCGGAGCCCAAGAAGAAAACAAGAGAAAAAGCAACTAAAGAGCAACCGATCTGGATGTCGGAAAGCACCGTGGAAAGAGCAACAACAGCCACCAGCAACAGTGTTGGTAAGTTTGAAGCATAAGCAAATATGTAAATTCAGCAGCCTTACTGCATTTAAACACAGATTTCCTACTGACAGTCCAGTGAGCTTGGTTCAGAATACAGAGTAATGCTTCACTTCTGCACTAGCAGCTACTGGAGCTTAGTCTTCAGGCTGATTCAGCTAGTGTTCCTTAAGCCAGAGAATCACAGAATCATTAAGGCTGGAAAAGACCTCCAAGACCAAGTCCAACTGTCCACCCAGCACCACCATGCCCACTAAACCATGTCCTGAAGTGCCACATCTACATGTTGTCTGAACCCCTCCAGGGATGGGGACTCCACCACTTCCCTGGGCAGCCTGTTGCAATGCCTGACCACTCTTTTGGTATTGAAATTTTTTCTAGTATCTTATCTAAACCTCCCCTGGCGCAACTTAAGGCCATTTCCTCTCATCCTATCACTAGTTACTTGGGAAAAGAGACCAACACCCACCTCACTACAACCTCCCTTCAGGTAGTTGTAGAGAGCGATAAGGTCTCCCCTCAGCCTCCTCTTCTGCAGACTGAACAGCCCCAGCTCCCTCAGCTGCTCCTCATAAGACTTGTTCTCCAGACCCCTCACCAGCCTCCTTGCCCTCCTCTCCAGCCCCTCAATGTCTTTCTTGTAGTGAGGGGCCCAAAACTGACCACAGTACTCAAGGTGCAAATAGATAGGTCATGTACCAGGTACGGAAGCTTTTGTCTGTAACCACGCAGTAACATTAGTGGTAATCTTTAAAGGGGAAGGCTCTTAGAAACATCTGCACTTTCAAGAGTTCTGAAATGTCAGTAAAAAAGATCCAGAGCAGGAAAAAATAATTTCTGTAGGATGCCTGTGGTAGGTGGTAACTGTTGATACCTCTAACATTTGATACTGTGTATTAGGAGTAAATGCTTCTGAAGAAACTGAAGAAAGCGTTAAGGAAACTGTCACGGACAATGAAATCATCAAGACTCTTCTGATCCATGAATCCAAGTCATCATCCAGCACGGACCAGGCTCCTGTTGTCCCTGGCAAACTGGCCAAGTCAGGCAGAGATACCAGTGAGTCTGAGGAGGAGGCCAGCCACTCGGGAGGGGAAGCAGCAGGCTTCAAATATGAGGAGGAGCAGGAGACACGAGGTCCTGTTTTAATGGTAGCCGGTCAGCCTCGCTCATACGGTGAAGTCAGTGAAAATCCAGAGCTCGTGTCTCTCATGACAACCGAGGAGAAAGAAGCTTACATAAAAGTAGGACAAGAAATGTTCCAGGCTGTCTATGAATAAACGTTACTGTATGCATATGCAAACTTGTCTAGAATGGTGAAGGCTTCTGAAATAAGACAGTTTAATAGTTTATGTTCCTTAATGTTTACTAATGAAGGGTTAAGTTTTGTTTGAACTCCTTGCTGTTATGCAAGACAGTAATCCTGTAGTAAGTAACTACAGTGCAAAACGCTAGCACTGTAGCAAAAGCAACCCAAAGTTTCTATGGGTTTTCTGTTGTCCGAGTGCTTAGATGTTGTGAATGCTGTGATTAGTTTTGAAGTGTGCATCATTTCAGGGTGCAGTGGGATCTGATTAAAATAAAGTTTCAAAAGCAATGCTGCAAGCTGTTGTAAGAAATTGATTATTCCCCCTTCATCCCAGAAGTAGCAGATACTTCCAGTAGTGAAAAGGAGTCAAAGCCCAACGTGATCTGGTTTTGCTCCATACCAGTACGCTCTCTTGTTCCATTAGGTCCCTTGTGCCAGACAGGTGCTGTGTAAGGGAAGAGCTGTTACTGAGTTGTGCTCGCTCTAGAAGAGAACCAGCTATGGCCTCTTAACTTTCATCTTCAAAATAATCATCTGAATTCTTTGCACACATTGCTCTACAGAACCATCTCTGAAGTGCTGAACTGTGCAATGGATACTGGACTGTAAAATACAACATTCATTTTGGTCCACAGTGGTGAGGAAGAACAAAATGGGTCAAGCAGAAGACTGCTTCTCATATCTGTCACACACTCTCCTGTAAAAGCAAGATCTTCTCTACGGGCACTAGAAAAACCCATTCCACTGGAACTGCACTCCACATGAGTAGGACTGGCATCAGGAGATAAGAGAGAGTTTAACTTCTTCAGCAGGTCTGCTGTTTGTGCCCTTGTAGCCTACTTTCATTATCTGTTGCTCAAACCGAAACACACTGGAGGTTCCCTCTAGAATATTAGCAAACTTTTTTTTATGGAAAGGGTGGCTGAGAATTGCATGGGTTGCCCAGAGAGGTTTTAGAGTCTCCTACCTTGGAGATACTGAAAAGCCACCTGGGCATTGCCCTAGGCAACCAGCTCCCAGTGGATTGAGAGCAGGGGGTTGGACGACCCACCAACCACAATGACACTGTGAAGAAAGGGTAGAGAGAACTTGGTGCTCTCCTTTATCCTGGACTGCATCCCCAGCCGTGTGGCCAGCAGGTCAGGGAGGGGATTCTGCCCCTCTCCTCCACTCTGGTGAGACCCCACCAGGAGTCCTGCGTCCAGCTCTGAAGCCCTCAGCACAAGAATCACAGAATGGTAGGGGTTGGAAGGGACCTCTGTGGGTCATATAGTCCAACCCCCCTGCCGAAGCAGGGTCGCCTACAGCAGGCTGCACAGGACCGCGTCCAGGCGGGTCTTGGAAATCTCCAGAGAAGGAGACTCCACAACCTCCCTGGGCAGCCTGTTCCAGGGCTCCGTCACCCTCAGAGGGAAGAAGTTCTTCCTCATGTTCAGACGGAACTTCCTGTGCTTCAGTTTGTGCCCGTTGCCCCTTGTCCTGTC